GGGTCTTGTTTTAAAAAATGAATGTTTCTGACCAGATCTGATGGTGCGTACCTTCATCCCAACACCCTCGGAAGCTAAGGGAGGAGGACCATGAGTTGGAAGCCCCCATAGGCTACATAGTGAGTTCAAGGCCAGTGAAACCTTGTAACAGCAGTTTCTGTTTTCTTTGGAGCTCAACTGACTCCTGAAATTCAGCTCAGCAAGTGGCTACTGGACATCTCTTCTATGACCATCTGGTGCTGCCTGTTCTCTGGATCAAGAACCAAGAGCAGAGTCCCCATTCCAGAGGCAGGGAGGAGACAGTGGGGATGTGTCTCTGACCCACTCACAGATCCCTGCAGTGCTGACACAGAACACCCCCAAAGGGAAGGAATGTGATTCCCAAGAGATCATGTGGCTCATGATCACAATTAGCAGGCAGGGGAGCTAGGGATGCAATTAAGACATTTCCCCTTCAAAGACCTGTGTTGTTTCCCTCAATGTATCAGTCATTTCTGACCTACATGTATGGTCTTGTGTGAAAATTCACTAAAAATAATGTGGACAATATGAGTAAATTTCTACAAAAATATTCAGGAAGTTTTTGCTGCTTCCAATATGTGGCATTCCTTTGCTTCACCAAACTGGGTTTCCATTCAATGACTATCTTGGAGAGTATCCTTTGGTGAGTACAGGACCCTCTGCCTTGCTTGGTCTATTTTCCTCAAGTAAGTTGTGAAATTTACATCAATGCAGAAGTAGAACTACTGCTCAGCAGAAATTCATAACTTGTGCTTGTGGTTTATTTATATTGGTGGCAGATGTGCTTTCCTTCACAAAGTTCTTAGGACTGGAAGGAAATTAGAGATTGTCATAAGATTACATTCATGCACGGCCAGGGAACATGAAGGCTGGAAAGAGTTAATAACTTATTTGCCCATAGTCACACCAGACGTAATAAAACCACAACTCCTGTTTATCCGGAACCTACTGGATAATACAGGATTTATAGTGTCCTTAAACATTATGCACTATTTTTATTTTCTGATGAGATATCTGAGGCTCACATGGGTTAGTGACTTATCAACGGCCACACAGCTTGTAGGTGGTAGGTATATCCAGGGTTCAAACACAATCAGCCTGCTCCCACAGCTTAAATTGTTTCCAGCATCTGTTCTGTTTCAAAAATATGGGCTCAAACAAGATTAGTAATTCAGTCTCATTCTCTTCCATCTCACATGGAAAACTGGGGGACTCACAAGAGTGTTGAAATTACATTTATAAGAGATATGATTGGCCGGGCATGGTGGCACATGCCTGCAACCCCAGCACTCGGAAGGATGAGGCAGGAGGATCGTTGGTAGTTCAACACCAGCCTGGGCTACAAAGTGAGCTCAAGGCCAGCCTGAACTGAATAGCAAGACTGTCTCAAAAAAAAAAGAAAAGAAATATGATCAAAGAAACAGAGCTCAGAGGTCACAGATCCAAAGTGAGGGGTATTCTCTGAAAGTAGTCATCATCAGAAGATAGATTCATTTTAGTGATGATTTCACAGCATGAAACTGTTCGGGAATCTCTTTCGCTCTCTGTAATCACTTTTCTAAACTAAAGTATGATGTATTGAATAATCTCACTAGTGGTCAACCTTCTTCCTTTGAGAACAAATTTAATTTTCCCCATCACTTGGAATCTAGTTTGGTGAATGGATGACTGGATAGTAATGGTCAATAATATGTCATGAGAGTGGTGCTCCTGAGTGGGTTAATCCATAGACCAGGCCTGCTTCAGTCAAGCTTGGTCCTTTGGATTAACACTGGCTTCAGTGGAACTGAGACTCTCAGATGTCCCTAGGTTCTGAGAGACTTTCAGACGCAGCGTATGTGTGTGAAGTGAGGCAAGATCATTAAAAATAGCTACAAAGAAATAAGTAACTTCTGTGTTACTCTTTATCGTGAGTGAATATGAGATTATCAAGAGAGGGACGGAGGGGGAGGAAAGGGCAGGGAAAGGGATGGAAAAAGGAATCGGGATGTATTGTGTACACGTACCAACTCCACACAAGGAATGTAATCGTGTACTGCAAACACGCACTACTAAAAATGATGATATCTACAATCATTTAGTTATTTTCCATGGCATAATTAGTTCCTTATATTCAAATCATACCTATATTTGAGCACCCGGCTAAATCCTATTTAGTCCGTGCTGACAAAAAGTCTACCAGAAAATCTTTGAGCCATTATAATAGTTACTCTGCTCTAATGTCTTCAAACCTAAAACATTCCACAGTCTGTCTAGCTACATATACTGACATATAAATATATGTATTGTGGTGCTCACAATGGAACCAAGTGCATTGTGCATGCTAGGCAAGTGTTCTATCCCAGAGCTACGTCCTCAGCTCTACATTATATTTTTGTTTTACCTTTATGGTATTTGTTTATCTTCCTGGAAGACTCTCTTTTTTATTTTTAAATTTGCTATATTTTTAAAATTTCAATTGACATGTAATAATTATACTACATATTTATCGGGTACAGTATCATATTTGACTTTAGTACTTTGAAGGGAAAAAAGACTCCATTTAAAAAAAATTCTTCTATTCGCTCTGTCTGTCCATCTCTCTCTGTCTCTGGCTTAGTCCTGTTATGCTAAGACAAATGCTTTTAAAGTGCAATGTTTCCTTCAATCAGTTCCTCATTCCTGAAATATCTGCTGTCTATGAGTATAAGCTTAGTTTCTGGAAGACTGTCAGTGTTCAGTACTCTTTTACCTTGTTTATTCTGAAAAGTTCCAGTTACCAACATTTCTTCTTCATACAAGGAGACCGCATTGACTCTAGATATTTAGTGGTTGACTAAAGTAGAAAGTCAAACTATTTTAGATGCTTTTGTCAATACTGATTTGCTTTATCATTAATTTAGGTCCAAGCTTTAATCGAAAGTTTGGATGTTCAGAACTGGAAAATTGTTGATTTAGTTGGGATAGATAAAATTTCTGTTCTACTGCTCTAAGAGGAAGACTTGTTTTGAATTTGTGGTCTAAGAACTGTTGACTCGAAGGTCTGTTGTTGCTGTGTGATAAGACCAAGGTCAAGCTGAAAGTATTCACTGAAGTATTTTTAAGACACCTACTTGCCTAGCTCTGGGATGGACAGGTTTCTGAGCGTTGAACTCATGAATACTATTCACCATCAAAAGCACTTCAAAGAGCCTTGCAGATTGTCTGCTTGCAGTAGTGATAACTTGATTCCCAGATCTAATTCCATCCTGAGGGAGCCTTGGAATACAAAAGGCGCAAGGATTAGTACCCAGACCTAGAGTTCAAAGTCCATCATTCCCAGGCAGAGGAAGTCAAAGGTGGTGAGAAGTGCACTTTTTTTTTCCAGCAGAGAAGAAAAGTTCCCCGCTGAACAGGAAGTGAGCTTCGAGAAACACGCTGAGAGGGTGTCCTTCTACTTTGTCGATTGCAGAGGAAGGATGGATTGAAAGTCTGCAAAACCACAAAGAATAAAATATTGCTGGGCAATGGAAACAGACACATTTGGAAATCAGGAAGCTGCCCTGCTGCTCCCAGTAGCGGCAGTGAAGGTAGTGTCAATGTACGCTTGTAGGAAGCCTTCAGAAGACAGTCCATGGGGCGAGACTAGAAAGCGGAGGCGATAAATACTAATGTTGAGAATTCTACCTGCAATAGATCCTAGTTTAAAAATCCAGTGTCACACTTCGTGGTACATGAAGACCCATGTTATGAGCATTCACAGAGCATATCCAGCCAATAATTCCACAATCTCATGGAAAGGATATCTTTACCAAGTCCGTCTCATTATGTTGTAAATTTGGCAAAGCAGAGACATTTGGAAAACAAACTTGACTTGTTTTATACCAAGCAAGGTCCAGGCAATAGTCGCAATAAGATGAGAACAGTCCGGAACGTGGTTGATGGACCCGCTTGATGCCCGTGTGAGCAAACCAAAATCTGAAGAGTGAAACAGTTCCGGAGTCCGGACTGTCACACGATGTGGTTTCCTGCAAGATGCTCTTAAAAGTACAGATTTCTGTTCCTTACTGCCACGTCACCACCACACCAACTCTACCCCTGAAGACTCTCACTCAATTCCTCAGGTACTTAGGAATCTATGTTTTAAACAGCATTTATCAGGTGTGTTTGTTAACTTCTGGTCAAGGCACCCAATCAGGAGAATTCGTACCAGTGTTTCTCCATCCTGGCTGTCTAGTAAATCATCTGGGGGAATACTTAACTTTACTACTACTGAGGATTGCTCTCCCAGAGATTTTGGTTTAACTTATCTGTAGGATAAAATCCCTTCCTGTCCTCCTCCCTTCCTTTCTTCCTCCCTCCCACCCTTCCTATTTTTGGTGATACTGGAAATTGAACCCAGGGATTTTGCACTGAGCTACATCTACAGCACCCCCCTCTTTTCCTTAAATTTCTAGACAGAGTCTCACTGAGTCATTTAATTGCCCAAGCTGGGCTTTTACAGTCCTCTTGCCTTAGCTTCCCAGATTGCTGGGATTATAGGCATGTACCACTACACCCAACTATGTGCTGTGAGTTTCTTTGAAGCTTTCCTGTCAGTTCTAACGTGGAGTGAAACCAGAGCCCAGAACGTCCACTGAGTTGGAATGTTCCCATTACGTTGGAATGTTTCCGATCTGCATTCATTCAACATTTTAAACAGTAACATCCAACTCTAAAGTTTCATACCTTGGCTGGGCGTGGTGGCACACGCCAGTAATCCCAGCACTTGGGAGGCTGAGGTAGGAGAATCCTCTGTGAGTTGGAGGCCAGGTTGGGCTACAAAGCAAATTCAAGGCCAGCCTGAACTGTACAGTGAAATCCTGTCTCAAAAAGACAAAAAAAATTTCATACTTCATCCTTCCTTTTCCTCATCAAATTTTCAAAATATTATAATGTTTATATTTTAATGTTAAAATTAATTCTGTTTCTCTGATTGTTGTCCTTCTATTTTCCTTCCTTAGAGTGACCTGAAGAACATCACTTACCTGAACCATTGGCAGTGGATCAAGATTCAACTTAGTAGAACATTCTAATGGACATTCTACACTGCCCCTAGCTCTTGGGTAAGATTTCTAGTACGCAACAATTTTAGAGTCCATGAAGACATTCCTGCATCAAAAGTGGTAGACAGTATGTTGTAAATTAGGCAGTGAGAGTGGACTCCTTTTGACAAACAACCTCTTAAAGTGTATTAGGAAAGGGAGGGTATGGGAAGGGAAAAGAGTATTCAAGTAACCCAAAGCAGCTGGTCAATTACTGCAGGCAAATGATAAGATGGGGACATATTAGTCACAGCTCCTTTTTTGTTGTACTGATATTATGCAGGGAATTGCATGCAATGCTATTTCGTGCTGCTGTCAAGAGTTCTTCACCTGTCACTGTATTTGCAGACATCCAGACCAAATCACAAGACTCCATGACAGTGGACAGAGCCATTAATTGATATTGGCATATTTTGCAGTTGGTTTTAGTAGGAAGTCCAACACTGTTCCTTTAAACTATCAGGTATACCCCAGGAGGGTGTGGCTGACAGTAAATTTGTGTCTTGAGCATCTGGTCTTGCTTCAGCCTTCTTTGTCATTCACTTTCATTTACCCATTTGTTGTTGATCCTCTTGGTGTATAGCTGAGACTCCCTTATTAATGTGTTCACTCACATGCATTTATTAATCGCATAGCTTGTGTCACCATGCTGTCTTTTACCACATTATCTTATGTCACTTGATGTCACTGTAGTGACTCAAATACAGTAATGATGTCTGCAGTTTGCATTTTGTTTCTCTACTTGCCTATAGCAGTAAAAATGACTTCTAATATCCTGTGGTGCTTACCTTGTGCAAGACACTACCCCAAGTGATTTATATCTGTTAACTTTTTTGATTCCTAGAAGAACCCCCTTCTTTGCTGAGGCACTGTTTAAATGTTAAATAAATAATAAGTTCTCTGAGCACAGCACAGCTGATGAATGGTGGAACCTGGATTTGAACCTGGATAGTCTGACACCACAGACAGTGTTCTTTATCCCTATGGTAGCTCTAAGCATCATTAATGGGCACTTCTTTGGCGTCTACTTTGAGGAACCCTCTCTGGAATCATTCTATCAGCCTCATTCCAGACCGTCCTGCAGGACTCAGAATGGACACTAGGAACTGAAGACTTATCAGCTGCATACTTTTAGATTTAGTTCCAACTAGAGTTCCTATAGCTATAGGAACATGTTTTCCCAATAACATTAGAATATTTGCATTTCTCCAAGTAGAGGCTGTGTTGTCTTTATTATAAAGATATCATATGTTCTCATTCTCATTGATTCTGATTATTTGTTTCTCTAGTGTCAAGTGCTTCTTAAAAATATGAGGGCTTTCTGTGTATTACATTTTTCTTGGCAAATGTTTAGCATAATCATTTACACATTAGAAAAGGTAAAAGTTTTAATTCAAAATAAAACCCTTGGGTATGCATTACAGTGCGGACAGGCAGCCCCCTTTGTGCCAGGAGTCCTATCATGGAGCTCATAATCCAAAGACAGCACATGGGCCTATATTTAGTGGCCAATCAGTTGTCATCGCTCATCTTTTCCTGATGCTTCCTTGATTTCCTATCAACCTGAGATAGAAAATCAAGATTCATCAAGATTTCACACCTTTCCCTCATCTGTTTAAACTGATTCTCCAGGCATGGAAGAGCATGGAGAGTCCTGTAATCCTAGTACTTGGGAGGCTGAGGCAGGAGAATCACCATTAGTTCAAGACCCACCTGGAATACATAGTGAGACCATGTCTCAAAAAACAAAAGCAGCTAGGCGTGGTGGTGCATGCCTGTATTCCCAGCACTAAGGAGGCTGAGGCAGGAGGATCATTGCAAGTTTGAGACTAGCCTGGGCTACAGAGTGAGCTCAAGTCAAGCCTGAACTACATAGTGAGACCCTGTCTCAAAAAAGCACGCCCCTCCAAAAAAAGCAAACAATTTATTTATTTATTTATTTATTTATTTATTTATCTATTTATTTATTTATTTATTTATTTATTTATTTATTTATTTATTTATTTATTTATTTATTTATTTATTTATTTATTTATTTATTTATTTATTTATCTATTTATTTATTTATTTATTTGAGACAGGGTCTTGCTACGTAGTGCAGGCTGGTCCTGACCTCACTTATGTAGCGCAGGCTAGCTTCAAACTCACAGCGATCCTCCCACCTTAGCCTGCTGAGTGCTGGGGTTATAGGCTTGTGCCACCATGTTTGCCACAAACAACAGTTATAAAAAAACGAATTCATGTTATTTCTGCTTTTTGTCCTTTGAGTTGATTGACCCACTGGGATTTGAACAAATGATTGCAAGATTGAAAATAGAAAATTAAGGGGAGAGAGAGAGGCGGAGAAAGAGAGACCCCTTTTCCATATCATGTAAAGTAGTACCTCAGTATCCTTGAAATGGTCCCATAAATAGTCCATAGGAAAAGAGAAAGCAAGGTTTTATAAATGAAGGTAACAACAACGATCACATTGGTGGACGTTTGGCAGAAAATATGAGTTTTAAATCCATGAAAACTCTTGCGACACAGCCAGTGAACGACGAGGTGGGGGTGAGGAGAGCCCTGCACGTGCCTTCCTTACACTCGGCGGACATCCATGCAGCGAGGGGGCTGGGCACACAGCGCAGCGTGTCCCGCCGTGCCTGGGGGTCCTCTCTCTCCTCAGCAAGGTCCGCTGCGTCCTGTCCTTTCTGCAACAGACAGAGGAGCAGGCACTCCCCACCCAGTGCGAACATACTCGGGACATCTCTGGATGTACTGACTTGACAAAATGCCTTCACTTGGAAAAAGTCAGCATCCAGACAGGAAGTCAGGAGGTAATTGTGGTTTTAGCTTCAGTTCATCCATCTCTGGAGAGAGATAAAACTAATTCAAATTTTTTAAAAAAATCACTGAAAGCTAAGTCCTACAGTTTGTATCTCTCATGGATCCAATTAATTGAACAAATGCCAAGCCCCCATTTTATTCTATGCCATGAAAGCTTCATTGGTCAGTCTGTACTGTGACAGTGCTTTGCGGATTTCTAGGGGAAAGGCACCCCGCCTTATTGTCCACAGTTTTCCTCCTCTGACTTCCTCTCTTAACAGCTTTTGTTTTCACAGTCAACATTCAGAAATGTAGAATAATGTGAAACATTCTAACCTTATGACCCAATTTTTTCTGGAACTATCCTGATTCAAAGTATTTTATTCTGTCATCTCCGTAAACCACTGTCTTAGAGAAGCAAATCTGTTAAGAATGCTGCCTTCGGACTTGGACAGGGTCAACTCAGATTTGATTACAGCTTTGCCACCTACTATGCTGTGCAACATTAAGGCAAGATGTTTTGCATTTTGAAGATTCAAATTTTAAATATGTCCTTCCTTCCTTAGAGTTTAGATGGGGATGAAATAGGATTATGCATGCAAAACTGTTAACACGATACTTTGCATATAAAAATGCTCAAAAGTTTAGACATGGTTATTAATTAACTAAAATATTTTTGTGTCATACCATTTGTTCTAATCTGTGTTTCATGCCCAGTATGTCGCCACAAATTACTTTAGAATCCAATAATTTTATTTCTAAAATATGGTGTCTGTACATAAAAAGAGTACATTAAACATATAATTCATTGACTGTTTTAGTATTTTGAAGTTTTTCCTGTCATTGACAAAGAAATAAATAAGCAAAAAGTGGACTTGCTCAAAGTCTATTTTTGTGACTTTTGCTATCGGTGTTTCATGAAGTTGCTAAGTGAAATAGTTGGTTGTGAAGAATTGAGACAAGTGTACAAGCAGCGTATTGCATAATTGTTTCCCAAATATGTTTGACAAGACAGAAAGTTTCTTCCCAGATATTAACATAAATTCCCGTTTGCTTTTATTGCAATTCTGTGACATGCTGAAAGAGAAGGATCAGTTCATTTTAGAGAAAGGGAAACTAAATTGTGGAAATTTGGAGAGTAAATTCCCAGAAAAGCACGTCCTGATTGTTTTTGGCTCACTTGTGGACTGCTTGTGTCCTCACTGAGTCATACTACTTACTGGCTAATTCACTTGTTTCTTGATTCAGCAAATACTTAGTGAGTGTCTGTGTGTGCTAGTCATTGTTCTAGAAGCTGGGGAAGACTGTAGATATAGCTCAGTGGTATGGCACTTGCCCAGAGTATGTAAAATCCTGGGTCCCATTCCCAACACTGCAAAAATAAGAATAAAGAAAAAAAATAGATCCTGGGGATACACTGGTGAGTAAAGCAGATCAAAATCCCTGTCCTTGTGGAGCTGAAATTTTGTGGGGAAAGATAAACAGTAAACAAAGGAAATAAACATTGTTATGCTACAGGCTCATTTTACCATAGAGTAGATCTAAGGGGAGTAACAAGGTAGGGACAGGATTACAATTTTAATGAAGTAAATAAGGACGTGCTTGCCAATATAATGACTCTTGAGTCCAGATTTCAAGATGATGAGGAGGAGCCATGTTGGGATGTGGAGAATTTATATTCCAGGCAGAGGGAATAGCACCAGCAGAGCTTCTTGGCAGGATGGTTCATGGAATTCCGAGGAAGAAGGAGGCCAGTCTTGAGCGGACAAGAGGGGAAGTAACAAAGAGGTGGGAGTCAGAGGTATAGGTTTTCCTTGGCATCATAATGACTGGCTTTAGCTGGACTCCATTATGAGGGTAGCTGGAGGTTTTTAAAGAGAGGAGGGCATGATCTGAGTTCAGTTTTACTGGGATCACTCTGTGCTTTTTTGAAAATAATGAATGAGGTTCAAGGACAGAAACAGGACCTGAGCTAGAGCGTTACTGGAATAATCGGTGACGACGGCAGCAATCGAAGGTGGTGAGAAGCAGTCAGACCTGGCACAAGAGCTAATAGAATCGGCCGCACACGCTGGGAAAGCGTTTGTGAGAGAAACTGAAGAGTGAATAATGACGCTAGGCTTTTTGGACTGAGAAACTAAAAGGGTTGAGTGGCCACCATGAAGTTTTTTTGTTTGTTTTTCTTGGTTCTAGTAATAAAACTGCAAATTCAATCATGGTAAAATTATGTATTTGTATGCCATTCTTGAAATGTGCAGGTTTATTTGGATGAGGTGAGGGATGACACCTACTATTGTTGTTTCTTGAAATAATAGATATTAGAAATAAAAACATGTAAGGTAAGCTCCAGAAAGGATCTGTGGACAAGAGTGTCTATCAGAGTTTGTCAGAAATATTTTAAAGGAAACATCCTCTGTGGGCTCCTTCACAGAAAATAATCAGCAGAATGAGTTCTATGTTTGGGTATTAGAAATGTCTCCTAGTTGCTTCCAGTGCACAAGTCCTTAAATGCTAACCTCCTCCTTTCCATTTACTCTCTCTTCCCCCAAGTGTGCTAAGAACTCTTTTGTCTTATGAAGCTAGCTTCTGTGTTGAGTCTAGTGAAAAAACACTATTTTATAAAGCTGGCTGATGTTGCAAGTCCTTGTAAAGCAACTTGGAAATGGTCTGTATATTATAAAGCATACACAGCTTACATTTTCACATTCCTTACAGTGGATTTCTTAAGGATCTTTATTAGCATAGTGGAGAGACGGTGCTGGAAGAAACTTTGAAATCGCTCAGTCCCCTAGTAGGCCTGAAATTGTCTGCCAAGGTCGACAGATTGATGGATGTTTATTGGAGCTCTGTGTTAAGAAATATGCTGAGGCTGCTTCTGGGGCGAGTAGAAAGTTTGCTGTACAAAGGAGGGAAATGAGCGGTGGAAGCAGGACAGAAAGGCAGTCTGCACACGCTGAGGACTCGTCATCCCACTCTAGGCCCAGCTTCTCACTTCGGGGGACCTTGTCTGAGGCCTGGCAGCCTGTTGGGGGGGCCAGGAGCCCCATCTTCCATCGTGCTCCCCCCTGCATGCTCTGCGCACTACACACTGTTACCCTGAGAAATAAACACCCCTGTGCAGACATGCATGCATTTCTATACAGCACAGAAGCTCAAGCATCAAAACTTAATAGCCTGTAATGTAGGCCTTTCACCAGTTAGACAGATCTAAATTAGTGAGCTTTTACCATACAGGAAGGGACAAGTCCTTGAATTTAAAAGAGATTTTCTGTTGTTTTTGTTTATTTTTCTTCTTCATTTTTAAAAATTTTATGACTTGGCATGAAGTAGAAACAATGAAATAAAAACTCTGTGTTATAGACTACTGTGGAGTGGATTTACAGTTAACATTATGATCCACAAACCTGGCGTAAAGGGTTTTTTTCCTCAGGGCCGTGGAATGTAAAGGAAATATCTAAGCAACAGCTGGAAACAATTACCAAGTATTTTCAGTGGTCCCGTGAAATGCCATGAATTCAGAGCATCGCTTCAGAAACCCGGGTTGTGTCCCTCAGAAGATGCGTGTGGACATTGGGCCAAACCATTTTTGCCTCTTTTGAGCAGGGTTTACAGCTCAGACATTTAGGATGTGTGTGTATATAACTGTAACAGGGTCTTACTATGTTGCCCAAGCTAGTCTCAAAACCCCTGGGCTGTAGTAATCTCCCATCTCAGCCTGCCGAGCAGCTGGGACTACAGGCCTGGCAACCACACCTGGCTCTTCCTTACATTGGTTGAATTCTACTTTCAGAACATGTTTCTTGTGATTCCCTTAGTTTTAACATATCACAGTTCATATCTTCAAATGTAGCTACTAGAGTCATCACTGCATCCTGCACACGTGGGAGGAACAATTCTTTTAGGCGTTGCTAGCGCAGGCAGTCCTCTACAGCTGAGCTCTCTGTGAAGTGCTGCGGGTATGAGTTTTCCTTTTAGTGCACTGGGCGTTCCTGAGTTTTAGTCAACTTGGGTACAGATTTTCCTATAGAAACTTAACTGCTTAGACTAACACGTGAAGTCCGCAACATAAAATACCACTGAAATGTACCTAGTAAACGATATTTGATTGTGCGTGGAAGAATTGCAGATCTCCAAGAAACATCAATGAATTACCCAAAACTTAACTGATGGCCTTCTGGGCCTGTCAAAAATATCGCACCAGGCTTTTGATTGCACAGTGGCCCCAAGTCCCACTGAGGAGGCCAGGGAAGGTCAGTAATAATGCACTCACCTAGTCATTTGTTAACAATTTACCTTTCTGTCATCGCCATGGTGAAAGAATAACTTTGCACTGTAACCGTTCAACCAAACCAGGCCAGAATAAGGATGAGCAGAGAGGTGCCTGAGGTGTGAGGAAAGATGCTTTGGCCTCTCCTCTCTTTTTCTGTTTTGAAAGGAATAACTGGGTAGATGAAACTGGCATCGCTCTCACTGCCACACATTCACCCGTCCTATCTGTAAGAAAAAGGTTGTGAGCGATGCATTTGTTTCCAGGAGAAAAAGTTGATATTCGTGCTCCAACTTTTCTGCCAGGTTCTGGTAAAAGGATCTCCCTCCAAAGTCCAACAAAAGGAAGGGCAGGAGGAAAGGCATGGAGAATCTTTCAGGTGTCTCCTCTCACCCTACGCTTCTCTCCCTACTAGCACCTAGATGCTCTTATCCAACCTCAGAAAGGAAGGGAGGGGGCGGAGACGGCAAAGCTGCAGAAGCCTTCTAACTTTAGCACTGAGGGTTTTCAGATCTCAGGGCAAATTCCATGGTAAGGAGAATGTGTCTTGTGTATGTCTTCCTTTTTGATTCCACAGCAAAATGACACTTTCTGGTGGTCTGCCCCACGTATGACAAATACTCATGATTATATCATTTGCTCGAGCAAATGGATGCTATTTGGGAAGTGTCAAAGGAAGCTTGAGAATGCAACTGAAAGTGTTTAAATCAGATAATGAAAAACACAGTTATAAGTCAGATTCAGGATTAGAGAAAAATACCCTGTGTCTTTGGAATGAATTATTGGGAAACATAAACATATTAAATTGCAAACATGTGAAGCAAAGTTTTAGTTGCTATTTGTTCCCTCATCTGTCCTCCACCCTCCACTTTTTTTTCTAAAGAAAAGATGTTTTTGTCAATATGTGTTACATTCCAGCGACCCACGTGGTGGGGTCACCACTCATATGGGAGACACCAGGGAATGAACAAGAAAGCAAATCCGCTGTCGTGTCAGGATTTTTGGTAATAAATGACCCCTGGGTTTTATTTATTTAGTTCTGAGTAGTTCCTATTTTAAATTTAATAGGAAATCCTCATAAGGAGAAAATAAACATGTACACCATATTTACAGAAGTTATAATGATTGGCAGAAAATGAGCAAAGACAGTTGGAGAAATACGTGGAATCCTACAGCTGCGGAAATACGCCGGGTACCTGCTGCAAAGTGGAAATACTTAAGCTTCAGCAGCTGAGGTTGAACAGCCTGCATTATTATTGAAAGAAGCAAAAGTCATGCATCTGCATGTTGCCCGTTTCTATCTTCTGTGAAGATAAATCAGGTTCAATAGAACACAGAGAAATTAAGTAAATGCTGCAAAATCATAGATTACTGATGGCAATGAGAAGAAGGAACATGGACGAGGCTGAAGTAAGTATTCAGACAGATGATGCACACGCAGGAACTGATGAGTGGGAGTCTTGCACTTTTCAAAGTGCTGTTGGATTTTCCCACTATCACTGGCTTCACAGACAGTTTTAGAGAAGTTACTTATTACATTGAAATGCATTATAGTTTAACCTTCTTAACTAGGGTGACTACATTACTTTTGAGGTGGCTGGGTTACTCTTAAAATTGTTGTGAACATAAAGCCCAGTTTATATCTCTGAGTTGCTTGCTAAAGAAAGTAAAATAAAATAAAAGGAGCATTTTTGTGTCACAGTTTTCCTTGTTCTGGGAAATCAGCCTGTTCTTTATCTTAGTAGCAGGTTTCCTAATTTTAGTGTTTTCCTACATCAAATCCAAGTGACTTTTATTTCCACCTACAGAGGATTTGTTTCTATAATACAGATTCACATTTTCACACCCCAATATGCCGGACTTTTTTCTCTCCTTCTGAAACTTTAAAAATTGTGATGTATTATGTTCATTCAAAAAGATCAGAAAGCCAGATGTAGTGGTGAATGCCTATAATCCCAGCACTTGGAAGGCTGAAGCAGGAGAGTTGCTGAGAGTTTGAGGCCAGTCTGGGCTATATAGTGAGACTCTGTCTCAAAAAACAACAACAACAAACAAAACAAAAAACACCCAAAACAAACAAACAAACAAAAGAGAAAAGATCAGAAACCTTAAAACTAGTGTTTACCAAAGTGGTTATCAAAAGAGCATGCAAGTCATTATCATCCAGGTCAGGAAATAGGAAGTATTTCCTACCCTAGAACCCTACAAACCTGCTGTGTAGCTTTTCCTCCGCACAGCATGATTCCCCCACAACAGAATGACTTTCATGGCATTCATTTCTTTGATTTTTCTTTATAGTTTCACTGTTATTGTCTACATGCTCAAAAAAATAGCTTTATCTGCCCTGTTTTTCAACAAAGAATGAACTATACCATAGGTTCTCTCAGGTCTGACTTCCTTTGCTCAGTACAGCCAATGCCTGTGGGGTAGCTGTGGTCAGATTACTTCACTGCACAGTATCCCAGTGAATAACGACACCTGTGTTCCCGCTGGTTGAGCCCAGGTTGTTTCCACACTGTGACTCTCATGAGATGCTGTGAGCCTTCTTCTTCTTTCAGCCTGGAGCACATACTGTGCATTTCCCACGGTGTGAGTGCTGTGGCACCCTGGGCTGTCTGCACACCTCTGTCTACCTGCAGTGTGTGGGTGCTCCTTGCACCACCCCCTCTCCATGACCTGAGAGTGCAGGATGTTTTTAGCTTTGCTGATCCAGGCATCACGTTATTGCAGATTTAATTTGCATTTCTCAGATTACTAAAGAGGTTGAGCATCTTTTCACGCTTGTTAGCTATTTATTTGTTCTTTTTTTGAGACAGGCTTTCACTAGGTAGTTCAGGTTGGCCTTGGACTCACAATGATCCTCCTGTCTCAGCCTCCTAAGTGCTAGAATTACAGGTGTGCACCACCATGCCTGGCTATTTGTATTTTTTTGTGTCTGTATAATATGTCTCTAATTCTCATACCATTTTTCTATAAGGTTCTCTTCTTTTTTCACAGTAATATATGTGAGCATTCTTCACATATTTTGAAATCTGATGTTTTTATATGCATATACATCCTTTATACAATAAGGCATTTATATATAATAGATCATATATGTACATATACATATATATTCCCTGTGGCTTAGGAAAGAGAGGGTGAGCATCTGCACCACCTTAATGACCCACAGGGATTTAGAGGACAACAGCATTGAGATTTATGCCAGCAGGATGCTGAAACTGCCCTGCTGCCTTTTTCTTACTACCAGGCTGTCAAATTCAGATCATATGGAGTCACTTTCAGAAGAGCAGTGGGTCTCAGAAGAACAGCAGAGGCCTCCAGACCCAAGGGACTCTGCAGACAGACATCCCATCCGAAGCTTCACGCTGCAGACTGGAACACGCGGCTCAGCAGTGGGTCCTCAGCTCCCCCAGGACCTGCAGCCCACCGCAGGTCTGGGCTCCCCTTCTGTGTGTTTTCTCCCATTGCCCGGGTTAGCACAGGTCTCTGCTTTGTGGCTGGCTCCCTAGAAACTATTGTTAATATTTATTCTAAAAAGACACAAACAACCAAAGGTTTAAGGAGATGGCAACAGATTTAGTTGTTCTGTTACTTCTTAAAACAGGAACTGCTCAGGGAGAGAATGTCCCTTCGGTATTTCCTACACAACATTTATTTTTCAAGTTTTCCTGATCAGGCTTCCGGTCTACAGGCTGCTGGGCTGAGAATCTTAAGTCTAGAAACGCACACTGGCACTAGAGCCGGAATCTGTCCTTGGCGGGTGACTGTCCGGAGGCTGGTGCCCTGAGCGGGATGGGCATCTTCCCTCCTTGACTCTAGCGCATTCAGTCAGAGCTTTGTCATTTATATTTGCTCAGCACAGTTAGTAAAATGGAGTCTTCAATGGCCACTCTGACTGCTCCGCGCCAATTTCAAAGGCAGCCCTCAAAGGAGTATAGTAAGGAAAATGAGCAGAGTTTGTCAGAGGAGAAAGAGAAGTTGAGAGTTTGAATTTCCCTTTTCCTTTTATTAGTTCAGAAGTTGTTCTGTTTGCATGACTGCGTGGATTGGATGCGGCACTTGTTACAAATCTTTATAAACCATTTTCTGTGATATTGACAATGAAATCATGTAATGCATTGCCTTTTAAATTTGCTATAGCTCCCTAGAGCAGGAAAAGATTTGCCAGTGAATAAAAGAAACTAAAACTGACCATGACAAAAATCACAGAGCTGTGTCATTTTTTTTTTAAAAAAGCTTGCTATCAGGGTACATAAACAGACATAAAACAATAATTCCTCTTTTTTTTTTTTTTTTTTTGGTCTTTTTTGAGACAGGGTCTCGTTATGCAGTTCAGGCTGGCCTTGAGCTCACTTTGTAGCCCAGGCAGGCCTCAAACTCACAATGATCCTCCTGCCTCAGCCTCCCAAGTGCTGGGATTACAGGCATGAGCCACCGTGTCTGGCTAAAATAATTCTTACAGCGAGCACGGCTGGGCCTTCACAGTCTCCCAGGTGGCCTTTAGGCTGTCTCTTATAATTTTATCATTTAAATATGAGCATATTTACACTTTCTTTGTAATCCAGAAGAGCCTTTATTAATGTCTCTTTAAAAATAGCATATCTCTATAATTTGGTTCAGAATATGTGGTCTGTGTTGCTCTGTGCCATATGGAAATGATCCATCACCCAGAAATATTTGTGAAACCCTAGAATCACCTACATAAACACTTGGAGTCAAGAGTTAACATGTATTACATAAGCCACGTGTGCCAGGGATTGTACCAGCAAGTCTTAAAGAAGAGCAGGGGCCAGAGATATGGCTCAGCGGCACAGCACCTGCCTGGCAAGTGCATGGTTGTGAGTTTGATTCCTGGCATTCACAAAAAAAGAACTTAGTGGTCCCAACTACTTGTTGTCTATGCTCTGAGGCCCCAGAAATCGAGTCAGGTAGCTGAGGTCCCTGACCTAGAAACACATCTGTCTTTAGGGATAAGAGGCAGCCATGCTGATGTGCAGTGGAATAAAAGAAATAAAACTGCAAAAAGAAAGTAAAAATGGAAAGCAGCAGATGCACAGAGAGTAAAGGAAAGAAGAGCATTAAAGATAGAGTGGGCAAGAGTGAGAACACGTAAGCTGCCTTGGCTCTTTTAAAAAAGTTTTAAAAAATGAGTGGTTTGTTTGTGACAGGGTCTCACTGCGTAGTGAGGACTGGTCTTAAACTCACTGTGTAGCCCAGGTTAGTCTTGAACTCATGGCAATCCTCCTGCCTCAGCCTCCTGCGTGCTGGGACAACAGGCATGTGCCACCATACCTGACTTGCCTTGGCTCTTGATAGTTTTCCCATCCCTAGTTTCTGTTCCCGTGAGGCTCAGCTGCCATTTATATCGCCGGGTTTTAGGTTGGTCCTCTCTCTGACCACTAAACTCCTTCCCTCTTGTTCTGTTTGTTTAATTCACCAGAGAAGAACAGGGTCTGTTTCTTCCAACCCAATGATTCCTTTCTAAGGTCATAGTTTGGTCAGAGGGACAAGTATCTAAATAGATGACTACAGCCATGTGACTACAGTTGTAATAAAGAGCTACATAGAATGCTGCAGGAGAACAGATGGAACCTCAAGCCACACTTCCTGGGAGTTTCCATGTAGGCATCACAGAAAGGAAGACTTGGGCACTGAGCAGTGCAGGGCCGGTGGGCAGAGCAGGCCACTGCAAGCAGAGGCAACTGTGTGTGAGGAGCAGAGCTGGGAAAGATCAGGTGGTGAAGAGCAGGAGGGAGGGTGTCCTTGCGCATGGGGACAAAGGCGAAGCTACAAAGGTGAGCTGGGGTCAGAGCAGAATTGATCTGAGCGCCGCTGACCCTCCATGGTAGTTGTGGGAACTTGGTTTTGATGCTGTATGAAACGGGAGGGACCTGGAAGATCAAATCTTTTTGCTATACCTAAATCTTGTCACAATCTTAGAACAGTATACCCAGCTTCAGCTTCCACAGCCAGAGATAAATCTGGACTAGTTGGAATTAATTCAGCTCAGTATCACCAAGATGAAATTCACCATTGAAAAATTCAATTTGTGAAGACAAATTAAATGATTTTATGTTGGGAGAAAAAAATCAGTAGTACAGAAACTGAAAACAGAAATAATACAGCACACACACACACACACACACACATACCCTGTGCAAATATAAAGGTCTACCCTAGTCAGTGGTGGCATCCAGAATGTCTGTGCACATTCCAGTTGGTAAAAAGGAGTAATGATTTTACACTGTCGTAGACTCATTTTAAATAAGATTATTTGTCCTAAAACTTACATCAAAATGCTGCCCCAAAAATAGTTCCATCAGAGTGCTTTGGTTAGAAGCACACTCCTGAGACTCCATTTAGGCTCATGAAGCGGAGGCATTCTGACACCTTGGAGGGGCTAAAGTAGACAAGCAGAAAGCAGCAGTGCCCTGAGGAATGACCATAGCCCCAGAGGACAGAGGAAGAGAGGCCTGGCGGGTGGACTGCTGACCCATAGGAAGGCCCACCAGGCAGCAGGGCCTCCAAACAAACACTGTGATTTCGGCAGGGGACACTGGGGCAGGTACAAAATTTATAAAGAGGTTCCTCTCCCATCCCCTGGCCCCTCAGGTGATTAGCGACCTCCATACACCAGCGCTCCAGCTCAGTCTCTGAGAAGGTGTTTGCAAGAGTTACCGAGGAGGAAGGCAGAGTAGTGCATACCAATAATCCCAGTACTCTGTGAGCCTGAGACATCACAAGGTCACAAGACTGAGCCCAGGAGAGGCAACTTAAGTGACTTACGGACACCCTCGCTCTCTCAAAAATAAAAAAATATTAGAATGGGCTGGGGTTATTGCTCAGTGTGAAGGTCCCGGCTTCAATCTCCACACTGGGAAAAAAAAGTTAATCTGCCCTATTTAGAGGAATTCCTGGACATGGATGTCCTTTTTTATCTTTTTTAACTTTAGTGACAGCACAAAATATCATGAGGTCAATTAAAAAGCTTTCATAAAATGGAAGAAGAGTATTCCAATAAAGATGCTATAGGAACTATAGGCGCTTATAGAAATTAAAGCTAATTTTACAATATTTGCTTTGATTTTTAATGAAAATCAGAACATAGGGACTTTAGGAAATTAAGAGATCAATTATTAGATAATAAGACAGTAGACTGAGTTTTCTCTTTGGCTCGTGTGTTGAAATACAGAGAGCACTGGAGAGAAAGAATAAAAGAAAATCAAACTGAGGTTGTAAGATTACGGCTACGTTAGGAGAACTAGCAAGACTGAAACCACAAGAAATAAATGGAGCAGGTGAGAGGACACGGTGGGAAGTATATTCCATAAAAAAGGAGCAAAGAGAGAGGCATGATTTCCAAAGCAATTAGATACATCGGACGCAGAAGTTGTCTCTCTATATAAATCATTTGTGTCCCTGAGTAAGAGTCACAGTAAAGAAAAGGAAGTCATGAGATATAACGGGGACAAAACGTGCTGTAGACAAATATGAGTCTATAGGTTGTCTGTCACATGCAGTTTCTGGTCACATTCAAAGACCAACACTTTAAAGAGTTTTTCTTGTTTCTGCTGCCTAGGTCAGACCCTTTCTTCTACTTCTTCTCCACTGGAAACTGGTGGAAAATTAGATAAAAGTCGAAACACAGAGGTGAGCTCAGATGTAGCATTTGCTCCCAGAAACTAAAGGGGGATATAATTAATTGATCAAACAAAGATACTCCAGAATCCTTGGTGTGTAATCACAGCCCTTGGGAGGCTGAGGTAGGAGGGTCCCGAGTTCCAGGCCACCACAGGCTCCATACAAAGGCCCTATTAAAAAACAAAGATATATTCCCACAGCACGAAGTACTCTGAAGCCTCCACCCAGCTGAGAAGAGCACAGGCCACAGGCTGAGGAGGTGAGTGCGTAGTCCTGAGTCTGAGCTGGCGGGATGCGTAGCCGCATTCCTGTTTCCCCTCACTTTGCCTTGTTTTCCTCCCTGGAGAAGCTGGAAGACAACTAATCACTGCGCAACCTACTGTGAAGTGGTGTTACGAACAAGTGAATGAAACCGCACACATAAAAGTCTCACGCAAATGTAGATATTATTACAAGCACAGGGACCATATGTCAAACCTGATAACTGCACTGCATCCCTCAAACTGAAGGAGCTACGCAGCTGCCCTTCTAAGGCTAACCTAGCTGTAAAGGCAGGGACTGTGCTTTGTGGATGAAGCAGCTTTCACTTGTGAAGAAAGAAGCATGTGCTTCCCCAAGCAGCTGCAATTCCGCAGTTCCCGGACACCTCAGATAACGATCATTAAACATACATCAATCATGTGGAATAATAGAAGCAGTCATAACAGCGGAAAGTTATTATGGAATCCACAGCTTCTACTTTGAAAATAAACTTGTCAGGGTAGTTTCATCATTTATTTTCCATAATGTTTCCACGTTGCTTGATCAGTATTCGCATGGCAGCAGTAGACTATTATCCTGGAATAAATAACATGATATCCTTTGAGACATTTCCTTCATTGCATTTTCCAATTTTGCACTTATCATGAGAATATTTTGCAAAATTCAATACAAGCACAAAGAAGTACTGGAGAGAATGTATTTTATAAGTCTTTAGGCTAATCTCAAACATTTCCTAGAACATTTTAGGAAAGTTCTACAGAAACAAATCTCCAGGAAGACAGACAGGTGGGCTGTTGCCTTTCTGGGTCCGGAATTACAATGAAATCAGGGAGTTTATTATCAGAAGCCCACATCTTCATGCGTATATTAAAACCATACCATCAAGGAGCTTTGACTCTTGACTGTCTGAGGGCCGACAGTGGCGTATTTGTCCCTGAAAATAACCATGCCACCAGGGTCAGGATGAGGGCAAGGTCAGGGAACCACTTGGCTTGGCAGTAAAATGTATGCATGTGACATAAAATCAGTAGTCAAGATGAATATTTGAATGTAATATTTTTTACGGTAATAGAAAAACACCACACGAAAAAGCTGGAGAGAATCTAGGAGGAGCCACCATGCCACATATTTACATAAAGACAGCATCAGAGCAGCATCATTTTATGCAGCTGAAATCAGACTGCAAAGAACAAAGGGCCTGTCCTGAGTGGGTTTAAAGGTAGAAAAAGACAAACCCAGGTGAGCGTGCTAAACAGGGCAAGAAATCACTTCTGAGTG